TGCAACGCATTGACTGGCGTTGACCTAGGGTTACGCGTTGACCGGCGTTGACCCTTAGGGTTTTGAATCGCCATTAACACAGTTTATACTCGTACGTTTGCTGGAGTATACACAGTTTAAGCTCTTAAGGTATTGGAGCATCGCGGTCCCAAGCGTCGGGGTTACAGGACCAACTGTTAAAGCTGATTCGTCTGCATTTGTGGATTTTATCCTGAATTTGTTGGATGCTCAAGTCACGAGACCAACAAGTGGAGCTGGTGCGTCAATGACTTGCATTTATAGAATTTTTGGCAAATCCTCAGCCATCAACGGGTTTGACAAGCCTTTACCGACTACCGTTTGAGTCGAGCTGGCATGCGGATTGTTTAAGTCCGTTCCGCATGTGACGTTGTGCTAAGAGAGTTAACGCTCTTAGTGCTACGATATTGAATACGTAGACTTCGTCTTTCTCACGGGAATAGACTACCCGGCGACGCGTGTTAGGCGTTGACTTTAGGATTTTTGGCTAATCCCCAGCCTTCAACGGATTTGATTAGCCTTTACCGACTACCGTTTGAGTCGGGCTAGTATGCGGATTGTCTCAATCCGTTCCGCATGTAACGTCCCACCCCCAGAATCCGGAAATGATGAACTGGGAGTGGGTTCTCCACTCCGAGCATCGGAAAGGTCCGAGGAGAGGAAGAATTTTATATTCTATCTCCCGGTGCTGAAGAGGAAGAATTTTATATTCTATCTTCGGCCGGAAAGGAGACTTGGGGTGGGATCTCCACCCCCAGAATCCAGAATGGTGAAACTAGGAGTGGGATCTCCACTCCGAGAATCGAAAAGATTCGGATAACCCTAACTGTCGGAAGGTTTGATTACCGAACTAAAGATGGATTTCTCGTTTATTGAGAGTGAATTGTGGTTTTGGTCCTAACTGTAGGAAGGTTTGACCAAGCAGGAGTTTGAGATGATCCTAACTGTCGGAAGGTTTGATCACTCGATTTGAAAGTGGACCTCTCGTTCATTGGAGGAATCGAGAGGGGATTTTGGCTTTGGCCCTAACTTTTATAGGTTTGACCAGAAAGCGAAGAGAGTGGAATACGGGTAGCAAAGAAAGTGCCAACCCATATTACCACTCAAAGGGAGACTTTAATGCTAGGCGTTTAGGACCTAGCACGTTAAGTCTGAGAAATGCCAACGACGGGCAAATGGAAATGTTGGTGGATCCCCTGTCGTTTAGTTTGATCAGAGGATGGTTTGGTGAGGAAAGATTAACCTATCAGAGGATTGGATCTCATCTCACGAAAACTCATAAGAGTTAGAGAATTTTGATGAAAATAAGAAGAGACACTCTGACCTTCAGAGTTCGAATGTAGATTTCTTATTCATTAATTCCACAATGATTGGGTTATCCCTAAGAATACCCATGTGGTATTCTTCCGGGAACTTCCCGATACATTGGATTATCCACCCCCAGTTTCTTTTTTGGAACGGGGTTTGACTTTGTTATCTGATCGGGTTATCCTTAAGAATATTAGTGTAATATCCTCCAGGAACTTCCCGTCAATGGCAGGAAATAGTTTAGACTCATATACCTATTGGAGTATCAGGGAGCAGTTTAACCTCTTATACCGGTCGGAGGATTGAGAAGCAGTTTATACTCGTGTACTCTTCGGAGTGTCGCCATTCTCATTTGGCTTATCCCAGCGTTATGACGCCAGCTTCAACCAAGGTTTGTATTGTATTCTTGAGAGTGATACAAGTCTTGGTGGGATGATGGATCCTCCTATGGTATTCACAATACTTCGGATCCGCAGGATCATCAGCTTCCTCCTGATTCATGATGGGCGGGAGCTTGATTTTGTTGTTTTCGAGAAGAGACTCGAAGATGGCTGGAACGTCTTCGTCTTTGAACGAGTACTCGTTTTGGAGCCTTGGATCCGAATTCTTCTGTTGTCTTCGGAACTGCTGTTGTGACGTTTGATTGACGTCAATAACTGTTGCAGGTGCGTCCTCTTCATCATGAGGTACGAGACCCGAATCCAGAGGGTTGACCATCAGTTGGCTCCTCTCGGCTTTCTTCCTCCTGAGGAAGCGTTCGACCTATTCTCCGCGTACCTTCAACTCTTTCTAGGTATTGAGCGGCTCTGCTCCCATAACGTCCAAGATGTTAATGGACAAGTTGTTCTGACAAGTCTGCAAGATGAATTCCTCCGTGACGGGATCCTTACAGTTCATTGCCTGATTGCGGAAGCGTTTGATGAAGGTATCCATCGACTCTCCGCTTTTTTGTTTCTCGTCGAAGAGTGTCCTGACCGACACCTCGGTGTCATCATCGAAGAAATGAGCGAGAAACATGCTTTCCAGGTCCTCCCAGCTGTTAATGCTTCCGGGCTTGAGACGGCGGTACCAGTCGAAGGCGGGCCCGCGAAGGGTGCCAACAAATGACCGAACCATCAAAGGCTCGTTGCCAGATATCACTCCCAAGTGAGACTTGAAATAGATTAGATGCTGAGTGGGCGAGTCCTTCCCGTTGAACGGCGTGAAGTTGATCAGGTTGAACTTCGCCGGATATGGGATCGAGTCCCACTCTTTCGGGTAAGGACACGGAATGCCGGTCCTTTTTACCTCTCGGGCAGACATCAAGGCGTCAATTTTTCTTTCAAGATCCTTCATCTTTTCGGCCTCATCTATATC